AGCGAAAGGGATTGAGGGGTGAAAGTTTATGTCATATATATATATATACTTTGTATAGTTTGGATTTTGCTACTTGTTCATGTCACAACCATTGCCATTGTATTCCATTCATGTGTGTGTGTGTGTATGTATGTGTACGGTATACATACATACATACATATATATATATATATATATAAAATATCCTTCCAGTGTTTAAAAATTGCTGTATCATATGCTTTGATTGTGTATTCCAGGAGATGGGACTGGATGGCCCATGTGAGTCTCTTCCAGCTCTGATTTTATGAATGCTGATCCTTTTCACTTAACAGTAGAGAGGTCTGGATGCAAAGATCTGGAGGAAGCACCCATTTTTGCAGAATGACGGAAAAATGATTTAGGGGGAGAAATCTTTTGGGAAGGTGTGCGAAAGGATGGAATTTAATGTGGTGTCAAACGGCTTTATTTCTATAGTGTAGAGTAGACGAACCCTAAAATTATATTAAACAATGAAAAAGACAGACTGAAAGGAGTTGAAATAGATTGAAGAGAGCAAAATGAAAGCCCTTCTCAGAACTCAGAAACCTGCTTTTAAACCAGGGGTCAATAACTGTGGTGGGGAAGGCCTAAATGCCTTAAAGGTATTTAAATCTAAAGGCATTTAAATCTATCTTTTATGTATGTATGTATGCATGTATGTATTTAGCCTACAGTGGTGTCTGTGTGGGCTAGAAGACTATTTTTGCCCTGGAACTGTTCCGGAGTCCCCCTGTTAACTGGGTCTTCTGCTGCAAGAGCCAGCGTGGCATAGTGGTTTAAGTGTTGGACTATGACTCTGGAGACCAGGGTTTGATTCCCATCTTAGCCATGAAACCTCTGGTTCACCTTGGACAAGTCATACTCTCTCAGCTTCAGAGGGTGGTAAAACAAACCTCCTCTGAGCAAATCTTGCCAAAAAACCCATGATAGGTTTACCTTAGAATCGCCCTAAGTCGGAAACAACCTGAAGGCACACAAGAACTGCTGTGAACCTGGGTGGCTTCTCTTCACATGTGCATCTCACTGGGTTGCCCAGCACTGCTGCTGCCATTCGTCGCTCTCTCTGAAGTCGGACCGAGGCACCCAGGCATGTGATTGATGCTGGGTGCTTCATTTTTGACCTCAGAGCAAGTGATGCATAGTGATACCAGGTGGCACAGCGGGACGCATGTGTGAACAGGAGCTGCCCAGAGTCGCAACGGAGGACCTTAGCTAACAAGGGGACTCCAAGGTAGCTCTGGGGCAAAAATATTCTGGATTGCTCCCTGAGTCTTCTGGCCCATGAAGACACCACCATAGGTATCCAAATAATGGATAGATGGGTGTCAGCCAATGTGGTGTAGTGGTTTGAGCATTGAGCTAAGACTCTGGAGACCAGGATTTGAATCTCGGTTTGGCCGTGTAAACCACTAGGTGACCTTGGACTAGTCACATTCTCTCAGCCTCAAGGGAAGGCAACGGCAAACTCTCTCTAAAGAAACTTGCCAAGAAAACCCCATGATAGGTTCGCCTTAGGGTTGCCATAAGTTGGAAACAACTTGAAGGCACACAACAACAAGGGATAGATGTGATGAAGAGTTTCCTCTGCTCTCCCCATGCCGTTAATGGTTATTTATGTCTGTTTTCTTCAGGGAAACCATCGTAAGACAAGGACCATCAGTGTCTAAACAAGCTTCCACTTGGCCCAGGTTCCTGGAGGTACATCACGTCACGGAGAAAGTGCTGTGGCAGTTCTCCGTTGTCTTGCTGTGATCGCCAGAACAAAAACCAGGAGCTTTCTGCTATCATATTTAGAGTTACCACCTCTTCACAGAAAACTGATGGAGGGAAAGAGCTGAGTTGGGCTGAGAAGAGTAAATGGCTACTGAGAAGGGAGCAGAATTCTCAAATTTGGGTCTTCGCAGAGTCATAATTGAGCCAGATGGAAAGCCTCAAATCAAAATGGAAGCCCAAGAACTGGAATCAGAGAGAGAATTGCCGAGCACTGGGGAAGACCGCCTGCCCGCCGTCCCCGTGGAGGTGGCTTCTCAAAGAGTAACAGCAGCTCCAAAGCAACGCATTAAACAGGAATTATTGGACCAAGGGACACTGTCACGGCAGTGGGAAACGCAATGGCCAGAGTTCCTACACGCACCGCTCTCCCCGACACCAGAACCAAGAGGTCCATGGCTGCCACAGAGTAGGCTGAGGGATAACACTAAGACTTCTCAGCCATGTTTTGAAGGAGTGGTGACCACCAGCCACTGGGCTAGAACAGAAACCGTGGCTAGGCTGAGGCCAGGACTCAGTAATAGAACAACTGAGGAAACCCAAGGTCTAAACTATGCAAGCAGAAGAGATGAAGAAGAGCAACCAAGAGGAGATGCTGTCGCTGATCCCCTCAGTTCAGAACACCAGCGCCAGCGTTTCCGGAAGTTTGGCTACGAAGAAGCCGAGGGTCCGTGGGAGGCCTACTGTCAGCTCCGGAAATTTTGTCACCAGTGGTTGATGCCAGAGGCACACACCAAAGAGGAGATCCTGGAGCTGGTGATCCTGGAGCAGTTCTTGACCATCCTGCCCCAAGAAATGTTGAGCTGGATCAAGGAACGAGATTCGGAGAGCTGTTTCCATGCTGTGGCCCTCGCTGAGCATTTTCTCCAGAGGCAGCGCCAGGAGAAGAGTCAAGATCAGCTGCAGCCGCAGGTGGGAGCCTTTATTTTGGGTGGTCACAAGCCCCACATTTGAGAGAGACTTAAGCCAGGGATGGGGAAAGTGTGGTCCATAGGCCTTATGTGGGCCTAATTTTTTGGCTTTCTTTTGTCCCTGAACAATTCATCATCATCATCATCATCATCATCATCATCATCATCTTATATTTTACAGTGAGCCCTTGGTATCCACTGGGATTTGGTTCCAGGACCTCCCCATGGATACCAAAATCTGTGGATGCTCAAATCCCATTAAATACAGTGGCATTGTGGAATGGTGTCCCTTATATAAAATGGCAAAATCAAGCTTTGCTTTCTGGAATTTATATCTTTTAAAAGTATCTTCAAGTCGTGCATGGTTAAATCTGTGGATAACGAATCTGTGGATATGACAGTACTTCTTACCTGCCTCTCTCCAAGGCTTAAGGCGGAGTACAACATAGATTATGACACCTAAAACCATTTAAAAACGTTACGTGAAAGCACATAAAGCACAGGACACATTAAAATTATCCAACATAAAAATTAAAATATACCAATTTAAAATGAATGGTTTACAACTGGGTAATACTCTTTAATAGCCTTTTAAATTCAGATAGCATGCTTAGGCGTCGAATCTCTCCCAGCAGGTCATTCCATAGTCTAGAGGTGGCAGATGAAAATGCCTTCTGGGTGACTCTTTCTTTTTTTTCTTTCTTTCTTTCTTTCTTTCTTTCTTTCTTAAAATTTTATTTCAGGGATTTATATCCTGCCTTTCTCCCAAAATGAGATTCACTTGCCAGTCTAGTTCTGACCTGTTGAAATAAATGTCCCGCAGAGAACCTGAGTATCCAGGGCAGATTACCCGCATTTTCCGGTGTATAAGATGACTGGGTGTATATGACGACCCCCAACTTTTCCAGAAAAAATAGAGAGTTTGGGATATACTCGCCATATAAGACAACCCCTCTTCCAACAGGTGAAAATGAGAAAGTGTTGGGGGGAAAGGACTGCCAATATACAAGGTCATGCATTCTGGGGTATGTACAATATGCAGCCAAGTAAGTGACCATGGGCATGTCACACACTCTCAGCCTCAG